AATTTGATGGGATTATTATATAACCTAGTTAGTTATCACCTCATAAAAATATAATAAATAAATATAATACTGACACTTTTATATGGTAGGCCTATATATAAGGTTTTGCATGTTCATGCTTTTGAAATATATTTCCTTATTTTTATTCTTTTGAATTAAAATAGAAGGAAATTTAATAGAAATAAGCTATTCCCCTCTTTTTTTCAACCATGTCTATTGATAAACTTTAAAAGTGCGTGTATTCATAATGATTTCTATTTAAAACCTTCACCTCACTTCCAGGTATAAAAATAAAGAAAATGTTTGAATTGATTATTGATAAATAGACATATACAATGACATGTTTGCCAATTTCCATTTCTTTTCTAATGGTGACTTTTTAATTATGTATTTTCTTAGGGTGCTTTCTCGATGACTGTTGAAGCTTGGTATTCTCCTGCAGCGGAGCAGCCCGGAGGTAAAGAAGTGCTTGCTGATTTGTACCGCTAGAGGGAGACAAAGGCAGGGTTTCTAAATTTATATGAGTTTCATTTATATGAAACATCTACACTAGGATTAATTTATGCATCAAACTTTACATTTCAGTATTAAAACTAACCTTTAACAAAAATAATGGATCTCACATCATATATAATGGATTTTAGACAAACATTGATAAAAGAAATTGGAAAGCCAGTGTTCAGATAGATTTCCCTTTTTAAATAAGCTGAAAACTGAGTTATTATTTTTCTTTTATCTCCAGATTCCAGCAACCCTGAATTTTTAATCAGCTCCTTTGCCATCCAAAGCCAGCTGGCAATAGGGCCTGAGTGGTCCCAGGATGTGCAGACAGGGATGGGGACGCAGACAGAGCTAAGGTACTCATACCGAATCGTCTGCAAAGAAAATTATTATGGAGCCACCTGCTCCAAAATATGCACTCCAAGAGACGACCATTTCGGACACTTCACCTGCACGACTGATGGGGACATAAGCTGCCTTCCTGGATGGAAGGGAGAATACTGCCAAGAAGGTAAGCAGTAGACTTTCATTGGCTTGTGTTGGTTGTCCTGAGTCTGGTTATAGGGAATGATAGGCTTAAATAAGGTGGTAGATTTGCTATTACAATAATATAACCTGTAGGGGTTTATCTTTTTTATATTTCAAACTGTTTGTCTTAATTTGTTCATCATTGTAAAGATGCCTCGTCTGACTTTTACTAGTGAGACCATTTAAGTATCCTCTAAATTCTAATTCAACTACAAATAAGAGACCTTAATGAGCTGTTATAGCTCTGTTCAGGTGAGGCAGAGAGCCACCTTATGTAAGAAGATGGCACCGGCTCCTAAAACAACTTTTTTTTATTGTTTATTTATATGTTTCATCAACAGGCAGTAGACCTGTGTTGTGAAATGCACTTTAATATGATCATGCATCACTAGAAGGTTTCTGATTTCAAGTTTATGTAATGGCACTGAGTTAAAGAGCTGTTTTTTTTTGTTTTTTGTTTTCAAAAACAATTTAGATATTTTACTAAAACTGATCAAAACAGGATTATTCCCCTCAGGACCGGATTTAGGAGGATTATCCTATGGGATAGAGCCAGTTTGGGTGCTCTATACCTGCACAACTTTCTTTAACAAATGCATACAGTAGGGTGAGAGTCACTTTTATACTTAAGGCTTTCCTAAAACAGTCTGTTTATCAAAATCATGATAATAAATAAATAAAACTATGTCCCACAAAACTTCCATGCTCCTGCCACTTGAAAAATTCAAACAGAATAAAGCATTAAGACCTTCTCATGAAGTGTAAAAAAGTTTAACCTATAAATAGTTTAAGATTTGTGAAGCTTTTCCTTTACAAGGAATGGCTAATTCTGAGCTCAATTAACACTCCACTGCCTTTACAGCCTTAGTTTAACTTTCTCTCTGGGCGCGTGCGTTCTAATCAGCAGCAGCACGCGCTGGGGTTAATCGCGGCATTATCGGACGCCACACGCCACTAAATTGAGGGTTTCTTTTGTTAAGGCGGCTCGGGGCAGCAGCTGCAAACGGGGTTCGAACCGTCCTCTGGAAACAATGGGTGCAGCTGTCCCTCTAACAGGCATCTGCTGTGCTTAAAGAGCACAAAAGCCTCACGAAATCAGTACAGCACAGATCTAACAGTATAATTTAACCAAAGAGTCAGATATAAAAACAAAGGGGAACTTATGAGGTGATTAAATGCTTGTTAATAATATTTGTATCTAAATGCCTTAAAAATATTGAGAAACTATTTTTTATTTTTTTTTTGGATCAAATATCCAGAAAAGGAGTTTCTGGTACTGATTCTGATCATGATTTATTATTATTTTCAGCCATCTGCCTTGAAGGCTGCAATGAAAGTACTGGGATCTGCAAAACACCAGGAGAATGCATGTAAGTTTTAAGGATGATAAAGTAAATGTCATGATCCAGAGCACTTTGAAGTTTGACACTGTTTTCTACACTTTGAATCTAATAATCTAGTAACAGGTGCATGTTTCTGTTCAATCATATTGCTCTTTCTTTATGTGTTCCTTTGAGCTTTGTTTGTGTGTGAGTTTGACTTTATGCTTGAACCAACTGTCATGTTTTATGTGTGAACAGATGCAAAGACGGCTGGCAGGGACGCTTTTGTGATGAGTGTAAACTCCACCGGTTCTGTAAACATGGTACCTGCGAAAAGCCGAATCAGTGCACCTGCAAAGAGGGCTGGGGAGGCATCTTTTGTGACCAAGGTGCTTGTTTCTTTCAAAAGCAACAGGAAGCTGGATGTTTAAGATAAAGCAAAGAGGCCTGACATGTCCATTCCCCTTTTTGTTTGCAGACCTGAACTACTGCACCAATCACAAACCCTGTGCCAACGGGGCCACGTGCATGAACACAGGAGAGGGTCATTACACCTGCGCCTGCCTGCCAGGCTTTGCCGGAAAGAACTGTGACTTAGAGGTCAGGGAGTGTGACAGCAAGCCCTGCCACAACGGAGGCCGCTGCGAGGTGAGTCCGGAAGTCACTCGCTCTCCTTTCCCACAACACAGGCTTTCCTGTTTTTGTTTTCGCCTTGGTCTATCTGCAGCTCCAGGAGGATGCTATCGATTGTCAAGTCCGTCGATGACCCAGTTCACAGACTGTGTACTGGAAATAGAATTCAGAGTCAGAACAAGAAGAATAGAGTTCGTTAGGGCAATGTACAATAAAAAAGAAAAAAAAACATTTGACACCTCAATTTTTAGAATTAAAGTGTTCTTTTTTTCCTACAGGACTCAGACACAGGCTACACATGCATATGCCCAAATGGGTTTGAAGGGCCACGCTGTGAACACCAGATACCGACTTGTGCGGACAGGCCTTGCTTCCAAGGTGGAAAGTGCAAAGAGAGGGACAACGGGCGGAGTTACATATGCGAGTGTCCACCTGGATACACTGGACTCAACTGCGAGAAGAAAGTGGATAAATGTACCATGCTGCAATGTGCCAACGGTAAAACATCAGCTGACTGACTGCATTACTAGAAACATAACCCTTCATTTTCTGCTACACAGCTGGGTCCCTTAGACACCAAAAATACTCAGTAAATAACGTCGATCTACAATTATCCTGATCATTTTTAACCTCTGTGTACAAATTGAAATTTGCTCCTCTTTGGCTCCCTTTGACACAACTTTAAAGATGGAGATTGAACTTTAATGTAACAGTATATTTTATTTTCTTACACATTTTTATGAATATCATTTATAACTTTAATCTTCTCCTTACATAACAATAAGTGTTTTTCCTTAAATTCTAACAAATAAATGGCAGTTTTAGATATTTAAATATCTCTATTTTTATTCTAGAGTATAGAGTGTCTAAGTAGATTTGTCCTGTATTTCAAATATGTAGGTGAATTAATTGAGCCTGTAGCTGTCGGATGTTGGCAGTTCCACTAATTTAATCGTTTTGTTCTTTAGATGTTATAAAATAACTTTACTATTCTATTATAAATGTTTTTTAAGAAAATAGTTGCAGAATTTTGTAAAATTGCATCAAAATAATTAAAAATGAAGATATACAGTATATAAAAATATCTTTATCTTTTGGAAAACTGTGATTTTTTTTTTAAACTAGTTTTAATAACAGGGGATAAAAACTGTTACTGAAAAGAAAAGTTAATTTGCCTTGATAGGGCATTAAACATGTATTTTAAGTTAGTAACCGCCAGAAAAAAGGTAAATGGATAGAGATACTTCTTTTAAGTTTAAATGCATATGAACAACAACAACATAAAAAAACAATGTAAAAAAGCACCAATAAATCTTCTATTTGTAACAACAATGTCAAAGTTTATAAAGTCTAAAAAGGAAAATCACAATAACTATTCAGGCTGCTTAAACAATAATGTTTTATCTCCATCTTCTTTGTTGTGGATCCCTTTGAAAACACTCCAATACCCATCCTAACCCCTTAACAATTAGTACATTTGAACACAAATAAAAAAAAATCCTACCCATGTTCATAGTCATGGTCTGTTCATCTAAAATTCATAAAAAAAGGCAAATAGAAACAGGTGTGGAATAACTGACAGAACTGCTCAGTGATTTCTAACAAAAAGCCAGGTTGAGATTTTGAAATCTGGGTTTCTGAAAAGACTTTTAAAATCCTATTTTTGTCACCAGAAACTTCCAGTTAAAGTGAGAACATGTGGTGCAAACATTTAGGGCCAGAACCAGGGCCAAAGATTGTATGCCAGTACAGTTTCTCAATGCTTGCAATTAAGACAATTTCCTTTGCTGGTTTGTTTGTGTCTTTAGGGGGACATTGTGTGGTCCAGGGTAACCTCAGAGTGTGCAGGTGTCGCTCAGGTTTCTCAGGGCTGCGCTGTGAGATAAACATAGATGAATGTGCCAGGAATCCATGTGCGAACGGCTCGACCTGCATAGACCGCATCAATGACTACACCTGCATCTGCCCTCCGGGCTACTTTGGACGGCACTGTGACAGGCCCACGAAACGCTGCGCCTCTCTGCCCTGCCTCAATGGTGGAACCTGCATCTATGGAGCAACAGGCAAACCCACCTGCATCTGTGCTGCGCCATACAGTGGCCCCCAATGCCAGGACAGCGACAAGCACCAGGCAAACACCCCAAGCCTGAACTTAGCTGCTGTGGGCTTGGGTGTTGGCCTGGTTACGGTTCTGGTGTTTCTCTGCATAGCAGTGGTGGTAGTGTGCAACAGAAAAAAGCAGAAAGAGAATGGGCCTGAGTCTAAGAGAAACAACCTCTCAAGGACAAACTTTCAGAAGGAGAATCTTATTTCTTCTGTTGAGCTAAAGAACAATAACAAGACGGTTGGTCTGGAAGTGGACTGTCCCACTGAAAAGTTTAACTATAAATACATCAACAGCTTTCCGCTGGACTACAAATCCTCCATGAGGTACAAGGATGAACTGTCCCTTCTGGGAAAAGATGAAAACTGTGAAAAGACTTTAGAAGAAAACAAGGATTTAAGTAGGATGTACAGGTAAGCAGAAAGGAAGATCCAAATAGGTGCAGATCATTTCAACCCTTCGCCATATTCTACTCTTATTTTTCCCAACCCAACTTTTTCAACTGCTGCAGAAGGAACCCGCTTTGTCAATAATTTGTTAATAATTTAAAGTCATTTTGCAATTATATTTGCTAACAGTAGGGTGCTGATTTGTCATTTTGGTTTAGCAGGGATTCTTATGTGTTACAATTCAGTAGACTTGATTGGCCAAAATGGGCGAGAACCAAAATCAATTTAAATGGGGGGCAATGCAAGAGATCTACCCAATACTATGAGTATTTATACACATTAATAAAGCTATTTTGGTACTTGGTTGATAAATAAAGTTGTGATATTAGGGCATGATTTAGCGAATGCAGGTCATCTTTACTGCATGTTGTTATGACCATTTAAAAATTTATTTATTTATTTCATGCATCTTGTGTTTCACAGTGAACGTCCCAACTGTAGAATATCAACAATCTCTTCCTCTAAAGAGTCAGTCTATCAGTCTGTCTTCGTAATAGGAGAAGAGAAACAAGAATGCATCATTGCAACTGAGGTAAGCCTTTGCCCAACATACTGATGATACGCAATGAATCAGATTGTTGTCAAAAGTTTCATTTTTTTAGTACTTCATTTCAGCAAGTTTGCTTCATATATCATTCATAGACGTTTATTTCTGTTCATTTTGATGACTAAAGCTAGCAGCTAGTCTAGGATTCTTTTGCATGAAGTTCCTTAGAGGTGCAGCATTGCATGGGGGAGATCTGCTTTTGGTTGATGTGTTAAAGAAGTCCAGATAGCTTCGTCGTTAGCCTGCAGCTATTCCTTAAGGCGCTTGTCTGGTGTCTCTTATCGTCTTTTGGAAAATTACAATAAACTCTTTGAGGAGTTTAGGTTCCAGTCAGACATATAGAAAACAATGAATCAATGGTCATGAATCCAGCTGGTAGAGCCAAGTCCTGCAAGAAAAGGAAATAAGCATCCTTTAAAGCTTGTCAGCAAAAGGAAACATGAAGTGCTTTTAAAACGGCTGCGCTAATTTTGGACTTGAGAAAACACAGAGGGCCAACGCTAGCAGACGGCAAGGCTCCCCAAAGCATCCCTGACTCAAGAATCTTCACACAACACTATATATATATATATATATATATATATATATATATCCTTTTTTAAGGTTTAAACAATCATAGTAACCATGATTAATTAATTATTGAAATAATCGTCAACTAATTTAGTATTCGATTAATTGTTAAATGGAGTGTAGAGACTCTAAAACATTTCATACTAACACAGCAACCCACCTTGAGCAACAGTTATACCAAAATTGTAAAATAATATATGTAAACATTTTGCATTTAAGTTAAAATAATTAATCAATTTGCAAAATAATCGTTAGTTGTAGCCCTAATATGTATGTAACTGCCATACCTCTTTGTCAAGGGTACTAGAAAAAAAATTTATTCTTACATTTTTAAACTTTTTAGGAACCCACTGATATTCTAAAATAGGTAATCACATGTTGATAAGATATGTTTGAATGTGATAACTGAGATTAATGCTGATCTTTTCTGTTCTCTTCCAGGTATAATAATCAGAACGTGTTTCTCATTGTGAAGATTGGATCCCTTGAGGACTGTTTACACGTGTAAAGAGACTTGGATTTATTTAAAAAGCAAGTTGCTGCTGTTGAAAACTTGATAACTGGATGTGCTGTCTGACTATAACTGAACTGAAGCTAATAATCCTTTGAGAATGTACAGACTGAAGCGAGAAAAATCAAAGCCCACCGATCCACCTTTGACCGTCGCAAATCAGCCCCCCTGACCTCTTCGACCAGCTCAACGCCTGGGCAAGAACAACAAGAAGTCACTGTTTCTGTGCTGGTTGGGACAGGAGAACTGTTCTCTCAAATCAGATGTAGCACGAGTCAGGCTTATTTCTATTCTTTGTGACCTGCACTGTACTATGCAAACAAAAAGTGGACACAAAAAAAAAATACTACTGAAAACGGTTCATTTTTAGGGGTTTATTTAGGATTTCTGTAAAGCAAATCGTTTTTGATAAAGAATGTATGATCACAAAAGCCTTAAATATATATTTGTGTGTATGTCAGAAAACAATTTTTGCCCTGCCTTATCTCAAATTCTTTGCACAGCATCTTTAAGGTAACCATAAACAATCAAAAGATGCAAAAAAAAGAAAGAAAAACAGGAAAAAAACACTAAAAGACGATGCAAGGACCTACATGTCTGTTTTATGCAAGTTCGCCCTGATAAAGACAAAGACACACGTGAAGTGACTATCACACCAAGGACGCCTTCAGTGGAAAATACTGAACCAATAATGTTATTTTGTAAGATTAGTATTTCAGTAGTAATTTAATTATATGAAGCACTGATCGTTTTACGTTTTATAGGATTGTTTTGTATATAATGTATATTTATATGTTGAGATTAGTTGTGTTTTAAGTTGATGCCACCAAAAAGGCTAATTTGTTTTTTTTTTTGGTGTTTAATTGTATTATTATTATTATTATTATTATTATTATTATTATATTTTTTATTTTGCTATAAAAAAGACATGCAGAACACATATCTGGTACACTGTTTGTTTGTCGGTTGTCAGTGAGTTTTCTTGTGGTCGAAGTAGAGATTATAAATTAAATCATCTGTAAGCTCCGTCTGTGTCAGCTGACCCGAAAGATGCGTTAATGTTCGCCCTCATAGCTTTTCTCATACTGTGTCTATGGTGACGTCTGTTTCAGTTTGATGTGAAAACAATGTGCAAGCATTCATTCAGTGGACAGGATTGTAAATGAAAATATTCAAATGAATATATATACTTAAAAGGTTTGTATGTGAAAATAAAAGGACCGTAGGGTCTTGATGCTTTACTGCTTAACTGAGCAGCTGCTTGACCTGTATATTTCTTACTCTTCACATCAGTCATAATCTGCAAAAAAGAAAACTGAGGAGGGAGTACGTATACCAATATTTATCAGCAACCCTGGTAAAGATTTGCAACAATATTAATCCAGTTTTATTATTGTTGACTCTCTAAAAATAGTCAACTTTTGATTATCAAACCCCATTTTATTTTTGTAATTCAAGTTTTTATTGAATTTTTCAATTTTTAAAACATAAAAAAAAAACATTACAATAAAATAACAAAGAATAAAACAGTGAGGTTTAGTGCAAATCTTTGTTTTGCTGCCTTAAAATCCAAATAGATTTGTTGACATATAGGTGCAAAAACTGTCCCATTGTTGCATGACTGCTTCATTATTAGAATGTATTCTTCCCAACATTTTTTCACAAGCGACATTTTCAGTCATTTTCTCGGTCCACATTTTAATTGTTGGGGTAAGGGGGTCCTTCCATAACTTTAAAATAAGTCGGGCACATGTGACCAGTGCAGTGCTCAACACTCTAAAAGCATGTCTGTTCATCAAACCCCATTTTTAAACAATCTATTGAATTAAGGGAGAAAACCTTATGTTTCCTAATTTAACTGTATTTTCTCTATACAGTGTAATCCTAAAATATTTCACAAGATTTTTTTTTCTTATTTTAAGCTATATTTTCCATGTTTATGCAATATATACATAGACAAGAGAGGGGGATTCTGAAACAGCAGGAGACCCATAACTCAGATTCTTTGAGTTATGGGTCTCCTACTGTTTTCTTTAGCTGTAATTATCAGACAGGAACGTGAATTTTGTGATTGTCAAAAAATATCCATATTAATTTGGTTATATCTTCATAACTATCTGGATGCAAACTAGGCATTTTTCTTAAGAAGGAAACCAGATTTTTTATCAACAATTTACCTGATGTATGATAGAATTCATTCCTCACGCCCAAATGAGAAAAAACAAGCCGCTTTTTCCACATATTTATTCTTTGTTTACAATCCCAGCTGGAGAGTTTATTGTCTTTTCCAGAAAACGTACAGAATTTCAATACAATTGTATGTAGATTTGAGCAAACTACATTTTGAATCAATAAATTAATTTCAAACAGACAATTTTAGACACACATTTAAAAAAAATGATCAGCAAACAATAATTATTGTACAAAGAAAATCACAATTTACACATGCATATTCCTCAGTGTGACCTCACAAGCCACAGTATACTTTCAGAATATATACTTTACTTACATTTCCTTTAAAGGGATAATTTTTCACACAATTCTTTCCCCCCTCTGAATGAATGGATTAACATTAGAAGATGGATTTATCTGAAATGTTCAGCCTGATATTCAGACGTTTGCAATGGAAGCTTCATTTAGATGTTTTTAAACTCCTATAGTGAGGTTGTCAGGCACTTTTTAGCCCTCAGCCTGACAAACAGAAACTTTTTATTTAAGCTGCCTCAATCTTCCATCAACTTTAAGCAAGCAGAAACCTGTAAATGCTGCTCTAAATGCAGATTTAACGCTTTCTTTTTAAAGAGTAGACTATACCTGAGGCCTTTCTAACCACTTGGGGGCAGGATTTGTATTTCATTCCCTTACAGTTCTGAAGATGTCACAGACAGGGACAAACAGAGGAGAAATGTGACATGTATCAGTCTGCATGAGGACAATGAGGTTAGACGGATTGATGCAGACACCTAATGAGCTTTAGAGAGCACGGATATATCAGTCCCAACTATTTATAGGTAATGTGATTAGCTGCTTGGGTTTCCTGTTTGACACTTCTAGGATGCAGGATGTCATCAAATGGTTCACAAATGAAAGTAAAAAAACAATAAAAGCAAATGTTTCTTTCTCAAAATGTGAATAAACATTTATAGTAAATGTAATAATATCTATAGCGCAATTATTTAAAATTAAGATTATGTGGATGGAATACCTGAAACATTTTTGTCGCCTAAATTTAAACCTGAAATTTGATTTTCCTTGTGCAATTTTAATGTTTTCCAAACCAATGAACTTGGAGTTCATCTCTGCTCAATTTTGATAGGCTAACATTCTTTAAAGCCCGCCCACTATGTTATTTGATTGGCTGAGCCCATGCCGCCTTAGTCACTGCACAACAAGTCCACGTGTTATTTTTTATGCTTTGCTCAGGGAAGAAACAGACAGTTCCTACAAGTTTACTTTAGAGGACAGTCTGCTTAAAAAATAAAGGCCGCGGTTTCAGTATGCTGATGAGGAAAGGATCGATTGTAGGATCAGCAATTCTATAACATGAGCAATGAGGTGTAGTTGATAGCAGAGACACAACTAAATAAGAAGAGTTAAAGGGAGGAAGCTACCTGAAGACAGTTGTACTCCTAAAGGTCTTTTTTTTTTCTTCTGTGATTTTTAAAAAGAACATTGCTCAGAATGAAACCGCGGGATATTGTACATGAAAAAAACAGCCTTTGGATCTTTGGATATGGATCTTTAGTTTGGAAACCAGATTTTTCTTATAAAAGAAGGAAAGTTGGTTACATTAAAGGATACAAAAGGCGATTTTGGCATGGAGATGATTTCCATAGAGGGGATAAGGAAAAGGTTAGTCCTTTGCTCTGGTTTTCTTCAACACATATGCACTTTTTTTAATTTTATATATGTATATATATTTGTATGTATTGCAGTGTGTTATAAAATATCTAATTGTATTTGTCTTTGCTTTTCAGCCAGGCAGAGTTGTTACACTAATAGAGGATCAGGAGGTAAGCTTTAATTTTTTTTTTTTATTAGCTTTATATTTTACAAGATAGACCAACAAAAACTGGTACATTATTGAAAATTTGTTATTATATTTTTTTCCTTTTTCATTTCTTTCTTTTACTAATATAAAATGTTTTACTTGGCCCTTTTTTAACACTTTATTGAACCACATTGCATTAACCACATGATGTTACAGATTTCTCGAGGGCTAAAACAGTTTAATTTGGGACCCATCTGATCAGAACACCTCCTTCCATACAGCATGCCCTAAAAAAATAATGTTTTTATAGCTTCTGGCCAAAAGTGGCATTCAGTTTTGCAATGTTCTATTCTTTTTCCACCTGAGTAGTGGATCTCTTTAGCTCCTACAGAGTTACTATGGCCCTCTTGGCTGCTCCTCTGGTTATATTTCAGCTTGCACTCAATGGAGCTTAAATCCGCAAACCTATAAAATATTGCTGTGTTACCCCCATAGTGGCTATTAATGTGTACTTTTAACACTTCCTATATATGAGTAATACAATACAATTTATTCTTTCAACAGAATAAATGATGTAAGTATTACTATTTGTTTTTTCCCTTTTGTTATGAGAATGCAAATTAAGTTAATTATGTTGAGTACACTGTATTTTTATGAATTTTCCATCAATATGGTAGGGATTCTGTTGGTGTTGTTCAAGTAAACAGGGCTGAGTACAAATAAACTGCATTGATATATATGTTTTTACATCCTAAAATCTATTTCTTGTTATATTCATTTATTTTTCTTTATTGCCAACGTTACAGAATAATAAATCTGGATTCCTTAATCTATCAGGTTATAGTGGGTTGTATTTGTTCTAGCTTCTCTGCTGCTGACACTGCTGTTTTCTTAACCCCAGGCCTGCACATGGGGTGTTGCCTATGAAGTGACTAAGTCCCACATGGAGGAGTCCCTTCAGTACCTCAATGTCAGAGAGGTTCTGTTGGGGGGATACACCACAGAAGTAGTTGAGTTTCTTCCTAAAGAGAAGAGCCACAGTTCTCTGCTGGCACTCGTCTACATCGCCACATCAGACAACCCCATCTACCTGGGTCCGGCCTCGGACGTGGAGATCGCAGCCCAGATTGCGGTTTCCAGAGGGAAAACAGGACACAACGTTGAATATCTGCTCCGGCTGGCAGAGTTTATGAGGCTGTCCTGTCCAGAGGTGGAGGACGAGCACCTGTTTTCTATCGAGGCGGCTCTTTTAAAGATTTTCCCAGGTGGAGAGATCACACCCTCAGCCTTAAAATCCTTATAACAGGGACTGGATGATTGCACACAGCACTTCTTCTTTTAAAAGGGACCTGATGATTTAGGTTAGGATGATTTTGGTGCTTAAAATCTGTAAAACTTGATTTAAAGGAGTTTCTCTTTTTATCTGTAATTGAGAGTTAGCACATACACTTATAATTTTAGGGGCTTTTTTTTTTGTATTTCACAATATTAGCATAATTACTTCCTTTTTAAAATTTGAATTTGCCTTAAGCACTAGTAATGCAATTAATGTGTTAATTTGATGCAATGAAAAATGTATTATTTTGAATATTTTAATATATGTATATATATATTTTTATTTTTTATCTGAA